TAAATGTAAGAATATTACAATTCTTTGCTTTTTTCAGATTTCCAGTGTGCATACATGTACATGTTTGAGCCCTATGGTGATGAATACAAGGACATAAATCTACAAACTTTAAAGAATGTCTGTGTCCTTGTGGCTGTAGTCCTGACAAGGATGCCTAATTTACTGAAAGAAATCCCTAAAAATAGGAGAAATGCTTGCTTCTTCAGTAAAGAAAAGAAGGAAAAAGCTTTATCACCTAGTAATCCTGCCTGTAGATTGAATAAAATAGTTTGAAATCACTGTTTTGATTCCATTGACTGAAGACTAGAGTAGCTTTATTGGTTAAGCTGTTAAATCTGCTGTGGTTTAAACACTTTTTTTCCCTGATGCACCCTTGCTTCGAGTGACCTTGAAACACATTATCTCATCCTTTTTTATTTTTTGGAAGAAAATGCCTATTGCATCAGATCATTTGAAGCTGTCTTAAAACACTGAATAAATATGCTTTACTACTCTTCTTCTTATCTTTTCAAGGATAATATGAAAGTATAATCCATGAGTATTTCTTCTGCAATCTACTAGACAATGCCAGCTCCTCTTGGCAATTCACTAAGATGACTCTACCTGCAACTAGTAAGCAGAGTCTAAGATGTGTATGGCACTGTGAATACTTTTTTGGTTTAGTTATGGGATAGAAATGAATTGCATCTGGAAAAACACCCAGCGCTTTCTTACCTAAGGCAGCCAATCCAGGGCAATGCTAAGATGTCTGAATTCTGAAAAAAATCATTATCTTGATCAAGAATAACAGATTAAAGAAAATCCTTTTATAATTGAAAGTAATTGACAGTAAAATTCAAGTAGCTGAAGTGTTATATGCTGAATGCCCATTATTTAGGGTCTGGAGCAGGTTTATGGTAGTGCATGCACCTGAAAGCAAACCTCCGATGCAACCATACAGTTTTCATCCTGCATGTAATTCTATTCGTGGACTGAAAATCCTACTAGCTGCTTTTTCAAGGTCAAATATAGTTACTGCAACATTTTTAAATTAATATCTTGCTTTTGCAATATCTTCTTGTTGTATGTCTGTTATAATGAGTTTACATGAAAGAGTATGCAAAGATTCTTATTACAGAATTTTGTACATATCTTAGTATTAGCTGTGGAATTTATTTTATGGATTTGGCATTTTTGTATATTCTTATTAGTCAGGTTTTGTTTGTGCTCATTTTTTAAACTAAAAATGTGTGTCATTAACTGAAATCTTCTAAAAAACCCCACATATCATCCGTTATTTTTAAGACCACAGTATGAATAAAAAATTGTAATTTCACTTCCTTTGTATTTCTTTTAATTAATACACATGCAGTCTCGGATATATGTGAAATTGTATTTCAAACAACAATAAATCGGAGATACAAACATGAGTAGGAAAAGAATTAAACATTTCACACAGCTCCTCTTAGTTTATTAGATGGCCTGTCCATTAAAATATTGGTGCAGAGAATCTATAGCACTGAAAAAATAACAACTTATACCTAATTTATTTTTACGTATGTTCCGTTTTGAAATGGGAGTGGAAATCATATCATAGCTTAGATACCAGCAAGCAAAAGTTAAATGAAATGCTCAGCAGAAATTTCCCTTCCTTTAGCTTCATAGCTACATTAATCCAGGCTGTTCTCATGCCTTTTAGTTTTAATAAAATACTTTTTTCTAGTTTAGTTTTAAAAAGTTTTAATTTATTCATGTTGTTTTTCCTGCCAAGCTTGGTATATAACCTTGCAGTATAAGGCTGATTTCCTCTCCTTTCTTCATTTTAGAAATGGTTGGGAAGCCTGAAAATATAGTCTCTTTGCAGGGTAGTATGCCTTTCCTGTCAGGTGAAGAGGCAATATTTGAATTTATTTAGGATTATTTTTAGTGAGATGGCAGCAATAATGCAAGAATAGCTGTTTCTTGTATGCTTTTGGAGGTGCATTACAGAGGATCTAAGCAATCTGATGGCCTGCATGAATGTTTTGTCAAGGCTGTTTGCTTAAAACTTTTAAGTGTTTTGGAGCAGACTGGATTAACAGAAGAGTAAGAAATACAAAGTGTATTAAAATATGGAGACTAACTGCATTTCTAGATTGTGAATTTTTAAGACTCTCTCTGTCATAAATATACTTCATGGCATAATTGTTGATACCTGTGTAATACTAGTCCAAACCTTGTCTACTCTTGTAGCCTTTGTAATTTCTATCTATTTTATAAGTGCTAGATAAATTCACATTGAGATGGCTTGTTACCTCACATACATTTGTGCTCAACTTGTGTTGCTAGTAGCGTGACAGATGTATCACACATTCTTTGGGAGTAGGATTAGTCATATTTGTTTAAATGAAGTGTGAATTCAGCATTGGTGATAAGTGCCGGACTGACAACTCTTGAATATGTGCTCGTGGATCTCTGTGGTACAGGGAATAGAATTGCTTTGCTTTACTGTTACAGTACCTCTGCCCTGACCTTGGGCACATCACTGCTAATAATTGGGCAAGTTCAGTCTCCAAGTTGACTTTGAACCTGTCTGCTGCTTTGAATCTGACGGTAAACTGACAGATGAATTTGCTTGAGTTGAACTTTCTTATTGGCAGCTGGACCAAGACTACAAAAAATATGTTTGCTTTGTCTATCAAATAGTCTTCAGTAACAACTTAGGGCAGTTTAGCATGCTGCAGTTCTCCTGCTTCCTGCCTTCCCTTCCAGCTCAATTTTAACTGGATCATATCCCTGAACTGCATAAGCATGAGATTGCTCAAGAGTCAGTGTGCAGCTGAAGGGAGGAGGAGGTGAGGTCAAATAGTAAAAGCAAAGAATAGGAATATAGGAATGTGGCAGTCTAGATTCAGATTGGTTTAATTATTATGATACTGTAACATTGCAAATTAGTGGCCTGAGCTTGGTTTAAACTAATAATTTGGGATGAAAATTTCTAGCATTCAAGTCTTATTATAGCCAAAGGCACAAAGCTCAACTGTGTCATTATAAAATGAGTTAAAATAACATATATCCAAACAAAGGCTTACAAATTACTGCAGAAAAGAAAATATTTCTTCCAGCCTTTTCATTTTATATTGAAACTCATATCACTGAATTATGAAAGGGACCCTTGAATTATTTTGTATGTGTGAAGTAGTTATATTGACCGCATTGCATTAATCTTGCCAGTTGTAGTCCCATTATGTTTTCAAAAGGTTGGGTCCATGTGTGTCTGCTTGTTGGCATTTTTTTTCCATTTTAAAATTCTCACCCTGAATGAGTTTTGTCAATATTCAGTCTTGACTTCAGCTTGCATTGCAGTGTCATCAATTATGACAGTCTGCTGCCTCTTCTCTCCACTCTTCATCTTCTCCCTGTCAAAATGTACCCTTTGGCAGAATATTTTTCAAGGGCTAAATGTGAGTCTAAGGGAGTCACTGTCAAGGTATTTTTCATAATTTCAAAAATATTTTTCTCTTCCTCTTGTTTATAATTATCTCTTGGAAACTTCAAATTGAAATGTTTCTTTACTGTTTTTTTCACCACATGCACACTGTACTGAGATGGCGGGGCAGATTTGAAGGTTATTAATTTTTATTTTTTTTTTTACCCTCTAGGGTTAGGGGAGAAGAAGGGAAAAGACTTGTGGCATAGTATATATAATGTGTCCCCGCTCTTACACTCATCTCAATAAATACTTAAGATTTTATATGAGTACCAAAACATGGTCTGCTACCCCTTTCGTGGGAGGGCTTTTCCTCTCTTCCCTCCTGTATATTAAAAGGCCAGCTGCTCCTAGTCCTTGCATCCCATAGTAGATGAATAATGAAACCCTAAGGCCACAGCGACTGTTTGCAGTCTGGAAAGAGAGCCACAACTGAATACCTAGGGAAGATAGGGACTTTCTTTATCCCTTTTCTCTGCTTTTCTGATAACTGTGGATTGCTTTAGATCCCAAGGTATCTAAAAAGCTTGTAAGGTAGCCAAGCAAGTTTTGCTCAGCAAGAAGCCTAGCAGATTTTTTTTTTAATCTCCTTAGTAAATACTGAGATAGCTTCATTTGCACAGTCTTTGAAGCATTATACATGACACTCGTTTTCCTTCTTTTGCTATAATATACATGTTAACTTTGTCTACTGTGCTGCCAGCATGACATTTTATTGCGAGCTTCATGATTACAGATTTTCCTTTTCCTAAAGTTTCATCTCTAATTTCTTGTTCGTGAGACAATTTTGGCTGTTAATTGAAAAGGTGTCTCTGATGAACATAAAAGCATTTTGTACATGTAAACATAAAAATAAACAAGAAAAGCTCAAATGAAAGAAGTGACATAATTTTGGAGCTTATAATTTCAAAACCAGTCTAATTATTTTGCACATTGGGGTGATACTTCAGCTTTGTCTATGAGAGTGGGTCTGTTAAAAATATTTGCTTAGGCACCCACCCATGTAGTCCTCTTCTCTGTGACTGACTTTTCCCTGAGATAGGTTTGGGTTTTTGTTTGTGTGTTTGATTTTTAATAAAATCTTTTTCTTCATAGAGTTCTGATTTCATAATGTGAAAGTCCCAGAGGCTCTCTAGAGAGTGTGTTGTTAATGTTGATTTTGCACAGGCTATTTTAGTAATAGGTGAGAATGTGGCAGGTTGCTTCTATCAGATTACATTAATGTCACCATCTCTTTAATGATATAAAATGTTGATCTGGAATATGGAAAGAGTCATACATATATATGAGTGCACCCTCAGCAAGTTTGCAGATGACACCAAGCTGTGTGGTGCAGTTGACACACTGGAAGGAAGGAATGCCATCCAGAGGGACCTGGACAGGCTGGAGAGGTGGGCCCATGTCAACTTCATGAAGTTCAACAAGGCCAAGTGCAAGGTGCTGCACCTGGGTAGGGGCAATCCCAAGCACAAGTACAGGCTGGGCGGAGAATGTCTCAAGAGCAGTCCCAAGGAGAAAAACCTGGGAGTGTCAGCTGATGGAAAAACTCGACATGAGCCGGCAATGTGTGCTTGGAGCCCAGAAGGCCAAGTGCAACCTGGGCTGCATCAAAAGAATTGTGGCCAGTAGGGTGAGGGAGGAGATTCTGCCCCTCTACTTTGCTCTGGGGAGACCTCACCTGGAGTATTGCTTCCAGTTCTGGGGCCCCCAATATCAGAAGGGCATTGAGCTGTTGGAGTGGGTCCAGAGGAGGGCCATGAAGATGATCAGAGGGCTGGAGCACCTCCTCTATGAGAACCGGCTGAGAGAGTTGGGGTTGTTTAGCCTGGAGAAGAGAAGGCTCTGAGGGAACCTTATTGTGGCCTTCCAGTTCTTGAAGGGGTCCTGTAGGAAAGCTGGGGAGGGACTTTTTATAAGGGCAGGTAGTGATAGAACAAAGCGGAATGCTTTTAAGCTGGAAGAGGGTAGATGTAGACTAGATATTAGGAGGAAATTATTTACTGTTGCCCTGGGAAGCTGTGGATGCCCCCTCACTGGAAGCGTTCAGGGCCAGGTTGGGCAGGGCTTTGGGCCACCTGGTCTAGTAGGAGGTGTCCCTGCCCATGGGGGGACAGGGGTTGGACTGGATGATCTTTAAGGTCCCTTCCAAACCAAACCATTCTACGATTCTATGATATACGTTCCCTTCTTTTTCATTAGATTCTATTTTCTTCCATGCTATGGTCCCAATTCCAATTTATTATACATTTCAGAATTTGTAATTCTGAATTTAATTAGAATCTAAGAATTAATATTTGATAAACATGAAAGCCAGGATATTTGGTACATTGGATTATATTAAGTGTAGAAATAGCTGTTCTGCTTCTTAAGGCTACTCTGATGGAAAAGACAGCATAAATATGCTTTTGCATGGCTTACACAGCTTCCTAGGTTTGACTGAGGTTTCTATATGATCTGTTTTGCTTGTGTGTGCCAAGAGCTAGGCTATGGTATTCTTTTAACTCATGTTGGTTTTGCAGGGATTGCCTGACATTCTAAGGCAATGGTGACCATTTACTAAGAAGGTGAGGAGACTAGAAACATTACATTAGGTGATTTGCAGACTGTTGTTTTGATTTTGCTTTCTTCATTTAGCATTGTGAATCTGTAACAAATTATTTGAAAGACTTGTGTTTGTGGAAAACCTTTTTTCAGCATTTGCATGGCTCAAAGGCTAATCTAGTCTGCTTCTAGGACTCTTGGTTATTGTGTATGCATAGAGGAGGAGTATGGCCTGCTGATTAAAACAGGGAACTACTAGGATACCAAAATGTGCAGTTCCTGGACCTGCCATGTAATTTCCATACAACCTTGGGCAAGATATGTGAGCTAAAACTTACTTCACAGGGTCATAATATATCTGAACTGATGAGATTGTACTGCTTTTAGATCCTCTTTAGCAAAATCGCACTAAAAGAAATTACTACCATAGTAGAATAGTTGTGAAAGTAAAGTAGAAGAGCTGGCACAATTGGGAGAAAATTTATTGACTTTCTGGCTGTTTAAAAACTTTTCTTGGTTCAGAAAAATTGTAGCACTGTCGGTTTGTTTCTGTCCTTGATATACACGTGCAGCTCCCATTAGTGCCAGCAGGAGCCCTGTGCTTGCATCGCGAGAGGAGAATAGACCCCTGTGTGTGTAATGATACGTTAGATAGCCTCTTGTGGCTCTGTGTATGGTTTCTGATCTATTGTGCCAGAGATACTACAGCATGAGAGGGCTGCTGTCATTTTCAATAGGAAGAGAACTTTAAGAGCTTGAGAACTGTCCTCTTTTTTGAATAGCATTTTTGCTGCATGAACTGTAATTTATTTTTATCACAGCAGGCATAAAGCTTCCAGGTTTTCATAAAGAAAGATGATCCATGTAGTGCCCATGTCGATTGAACAATCATTTGAAAACCTGTAAATTCAAAACACAGCCCTTTCTCAATGCAAAATATTGTTCCCTTTTGCTGCTTTTATTTTTTTTTAATCTTGGACTTTCATTAGTGCTTTAGACATCCTATAGAATGGTGTTTTCATCTCAGTAATTATTTTTCCATCCATCAGTTTGCTTGCACATTATTTCATTGTAGTAACAAAAACTTCTTCAGACAGGACTTTCTGTGCTTTCAAAATCTTTCAAGAAGGTACTTCCTAAACTTTTTTTTTTTTAAGGTAGAAAATGTGAATCAATCATTACAATTTGAAAAGGGGAAAAGAGAGGAAGGGGTGGGAGGAGGGAAGTGAAAGAAATTGTTTATATCATGCCTTATACACAAACAAAAAGAAAAGGAAAAAAAGCAAGACCCATTATTAGTCCTACAACTTGTCAGTTTGATTAGTGAACAGTTGCCCCTCTTTCTTCTGAGAAAACACTGCATCTTTAAATGATGTCCATTCTTAAACTTAGAATCCGTGCATCTTGTCTCTTAGTGCATAATTGGACTGTCTTTTAATACAAGCAGAGGCACTTGATTCTGAATTTAAACCCTGCACCTCAACAGGTCAGGGAAATAGTAAAAACCTGTTGTTTGGCTTTGTCTTGGGGTATAATGGAGTCACTAATCTACTTGATCTCTGGGAGTCAGATAAAGAAGAAAATGAACGATGCATACATTTCAAAGATGGAAGGCACTTGTAAAAGCAATTTCTTTGGAGGGAAAAAGTAGAGCAAAGGCTGTTGGAAACCTTTTAATTAGTACTAATTACCTCAGCAGAAAACGTTGGAGGCTTGAAAGGATTTGTGTCAGCAAGTGAAAGATCAAAGATTGCGGCGCTCGCATTTTAATCTGTTGGCTATAAAAACGAATAAGGGGGTGGTAATGGGGCCCATGAGAATGACAACCCAGGTGGTGGAGGCCTTAATCCCTTCTTTACTGCTAGTGCCTGAGGCCTAGTTCCAATTACATAATAAGATGATTTAATTTTTGCTTTAATTTTAACAAAAATTAAGTTTATTTTAGCCTTCAGTAAGGACAGGACAAGATTTCCAGACAAAATCCTGTCAATTTATTTCTTTTAATATTTTAAGTCCAGGCCTTTATTTAGCCATTTTGTTCCTAAGCGGCTGAAGTTGCTCTATAGAAGGCCATGAGGCAGTGAAGGTGCTTTGATGTGGTCTCTGGAAACAGGGAGGAACTGGCAGTGGGTGACTAGTGGCTACTGTGGTGACCCTTGGAAATCCGGTAATGCCATGAGTGAACTGCCTTTTATTTATTTATTTATCTCTTTAAAAAAAAAACCAAAAAAAAAACCCAAAAAAACCCCAAACAAACAAAAAACCAAACAGAAAACCAAACTGCCTAATTGTGTCAACAAGGAATAGTTCTTAGGCATGCTTGCTGTGATGCTTTTCCGTTTTCTTTCATAACACTCTGGGTGTGTTCACATGATCATCTGTGAGGTAAATTACATCTTTACTTTTGTGGCTTGAGCAGATTATGTGCCCCTCATAAATTTAATTGTCATCAAATTCTTCTATGGACAAAAGAGTGAGCATATGGCTTAGGGTGAAGATAGGCTGATGGCTGCAATGTAGACTTCAAATGGATAAATTTACATCTGGGAATCAATCTCCGCATTTCCACATAGCCAGACCTAGCTGTTGTGTCAAGGAGGAGGTTGCTTGAATCAGAGTATTCAAGCACAGTAAGTTGTAGCCACTCATGTATTTATTTTTATAGGTAGTTTGACTATAAATCTGGAAGCAGTGGCAACACAGATAATCAGGCCTCTGTTGTGGGTTACACCTTTAGTTGCTGAATAAATGTTGAATAAGAAATTTAAAGCTTGAAATATACTTTGAACTGTAAACTGAGTTTTATATTGAATTTTTATATTCAAAACACGTTAAATGTGTATGTGTCTTAGATAATTTTTTGGCAATGTATATTATAGCACATTTTCAGCTACTAGCCTATTCTGCTTGCAATTCAGCCTTCAACCTCAGGTTCTTACGGTATTTGATTTTATTCTGTTGTGAATCTTTTGTATTGCTCTCTGGTGTGAGGAACATTTGAATATGTATGGACAGTGACCAGTAAAGAGTGTATTGACATGGTCTGCATTTTGGTAATTGTTCCTCATCATCATCTTCCTGATCCCTAGCCTATCAAACCCACAGTTGTGTATCTTCTGAAGGTTGGATTTGTGCTGGACTGTACTTTACCAATCAGATTGTCTAAAATTTTGTTATTTTTAGGGATTGAAGCAGGGGAAAAAAACCCAACACAAAACCCCCCATAGATTCTCTAGTCCATCCTCTTGTTGTGTAAGATTGTTACCTGCTATCTTTCCATGCCAGTGTTAGGTAAAAGTAATAACTTTGTTTTCACCATGCATTTATTGTTTATTTATGTAAACAGCTTAATGCATGTTGCAAGAGTTTAATTAAAATGCAAAAAACCCCAATTTGACTAAACAGATTTAATGAAGACATATTAAAGCATTATAAAAAATAATTAAACAATATAAATACGTTATTATATCTGAATTTGAACTCGCATGTATAAGTATTTGCATAATTACCATAAGGCCCAGTTACACAAAAAAATTGTACACATAATTAGTCTTGAGCAGTTATCATGCAAGTGTTTGACTGAGTGCAGTGTGTAGTAATGATTCCCAAAAGTCATGAGGTGTTTCCTTGTTTTCTGCTCTTTGCAAGGGTGATTTATGAGTTTACAAGTTCCTTCCCAAACTCCGTAATTGCCCCAACAATTCCCCAGATGGACTATATCCAAGTTGGTATAAAACAGTATTCATAGCAGCTGGGCCTTTTAATTCATCTTGAGTTAGGTACAGGACTTCTTGTTCTTTTTGTCTTTATTTAGATTTGTTACCTCTTGAGAAACTGTGGTAATTGGTACTACCTTTCTCTTAAACACCAGATGTGCCTGAAAGCAAAGCAAGTTCTATTTAGTAAGACTTAACCAAAAGCTTTTAGTTTTAGGAATTGAAACAAGGACAAATACAAAACTTGGTCTTTGTCTATACTTTGTCTATACTTTTCACTTGCTGAATGCATCTTCTCTAGGATTTCTGAAATGGATTCCAGCAGGTACTGCTTCGGGTCCAGGTGTCGCAGCAATGCATCTTCTCAGTCCTG